TTAATACATGGTTGAATTGTAGGCATGGATGAGTTGCCAAAGGCTTTGATATACTGCCTTATTGGTTATGAATAAATTTCATATGTGGGAAGCATGGTTAAATTGCTAATTAATTGTAAAAGTAAATATATTGAAGGAAGCATGGTTGAATTGCTAGTATATAAATAAATATATTTATAAATGGTATGGTTGATTTGCCGGTGCATATTTAAATTGCTATATGTGTAGATGACTAAATTACTGTTTAGGATGGAGTTAAGGTGAGTGGGGTTTACTTTATGAGAAAATTATAAAAGGGGGGCTTGGTCTAGGTATGACTAATAATTAATTATTGGTGAGTGGTTTTGACAATTTAATGCCCTATTAACTGGTAGGATTCTTGCACGATATATATAAGTATTTATATATATTTGTAGCATCGTATATTAAAGTTAAAGCTTAATTAGGGATGGTTTTGGTAAAGATGATCTGTTTATTGGTTTTCAGAGGCTTGGTAGAGAGAACTTGCTCGTAGGGTTTAACCCGCGATTTATTTTTCAGGTTGTAGAAGGTCAAGTCTCAAGGTTGAGGATCCGCAGCTGGAGGACTTATCCATTCCTTCTATTTACTTAAAAGTAGGATATTAGTTTTGTTTCAGTTGATATTAGTACTTATTTGGTTGAAATTCTAAATAGTAACTTTTGGTTAAGGGGTCCTTGAGTTACGGGATTCCCGAGTTGTAACCATTTGGAAGTTATTAATGGATTTACTATTAATTGGATTTCTTCAGCGTTTTATTTTATTCTTTATTTCATTTTGTAATCCGTGCTTGTTTAAATACTTTAATTGGTTTGATATCCCCTGATTTTGTGCGCGGACTTGATCAACCCGTGTTCCGAAATTAGGGGGTATTACATGTATGGTGGACTTATACTTCGTGCCGGAATGTATGGTGGAATTTTGCTTCTCGTCGGAATGTATGGTGCTTCTTGCCGGAATGTATGGTACTTCTCGTCGGAATATATGGTGCTTCTACTTTAAATAGGAGATTCTTTGAAAAGGGACAATGTTTTGCTTGTTTGATGAGGTTGTTGCCGGAATTTACGAAGCTTGGTCTTTGGCCGGATCAGAGAGACTTCAATTTCAAAGGGAGGTAAGCTTGGTCTTTGGCCGGATCAGAAAGACTTCAATTTTAAAGGGAGAGAGACCTAGAGGGAAATAAATATCCTTTTCACTAAAAGGGACACGTCACCGATTTACCTTTCCAAGTACAGCCTCCGGTGAGAGGTGACTTGGAGACGATTTTTTTCCCATTTTACCTCCCTGAACTACAAAATCGAGTAAGTACCACAATTATCAGAAACGTGCATATTGCCCCCTGCCAGTCACTTTCGGCACATTTTCGGCCGACGTCATTGTACATTACAAAAATGTCCATTATAATTAACATTTTATAAAAGGCAAATAAAACTAAAATTGTGAAATACCCTTAATACCCTTCATATTATATACCTCTTTTATGGCTAAAATTGCTAAAATTTCTAAGTGTTTTAGTTTAGAGACATTCGGTGCTTAGAAAATGAAAGAGGCAAGGTCGCGATGCTAAGGTTTGTGTGACTGCAATTTAGGGGTTCTAAACTACGATTTCTAGGGTTTTTTTGGGGAAATTTTTGGACAGTGTTGAAGATTGAAAAAATTGGGTTTGTGATAATGGATCATGAAAGAAGGACATTGTTATGATCGAAATATAATTCGAATTTGCGCTGCAGAGTTGTCTAAAAATCATGATCATTGGTAAGGCAAAATTCGCTATGATTTATTGCTCTTAATAAAGAATTGTTCATTTCTTGTGGTTTTGAAGAAATTAAGAAAACAGAGGAAGTGAAAGCCGAAACAAAGTACCCTTGAGTTCAGCAATTATCTGCCTGGAAATAAAGTCTCTGTATCACCAGAAAAGTTTCTTCTCTTCCGGAGAAACAAGGTTGAACTAAACTATTCATGATTTTCAAGCTAATTTAATTTCACCATATTACAATCAGTCTACGCTGTTAGATTCGTGATCTCTTATATATCTGTCGCTTCTTGTTCTATTTCATTTGTTGCAGTAGTAGGCAAATCGCTTTCGCACAACTCCTCGACCTCCTTCGAATCACATTTACCTTCTGAGCTCTTCTCGTGAACGACATATCATCAAAGGGACTTTGATCAATTTGATTGGATGATTACTTCATTAATTTCATCTTTGTTTTCTCTTTGTGTATGCAATTATGTTTGTGTATATATATATATATATATATATATATATATATATATATATATATAGTGTCTTAAGTTGGAAAATACTATTATGGAACTATCTTTTTAAAGGAGATTGAAATGAAATTCTAACTTATTTATTTATTTATTATTTTGCTTAATTAAATGTATGACAATTGATTATCAAATCAATGTGCAGGAGCAACCATTTTTTGCTTTGACAAATAAGGGGCTTCCTCATTATTATTATTTTTTTAAATAAATTTTTTTCCTAAAAAATTTATTGTAAATAAATAATAATAACTAAAAAATTTATTGTAAATAAATAAGAGAGTTAAAAGCTTTAATTTAGTTATAAAAAAATACTAGTAATTATGTATCGTTAGAGTTTTTCTTTTCACTTTTTATTTATTGTGATCCTTTAAATTCCTAATTATAGAAGTTAAAATAAATTAGCACATATAATATTAAACACCTAATTGCGCCTAAACTTTTTACTTCAGATTTGTTTGTTAAAACTAATGGAAAAAGGTTCTTACAGCAAAAAAGGTTATAACAGTCACATTAAAGGACAATCTTGGAATTATAAAAAAGGACAAATAGTTGGCCAAAAAGTAGCCGGAAGTGACTAACAGGAAGTAAGTTGCACACTTTTTTTAATAGTTGTGGTACTGACTTGCTCGATTTTGTAGTTCAGAGGACTAAAATGCCGATTTTTGATAATTGAGGGGGGTTTTATGCTTTTTAATTTTTTTTTTTTTTACTTGAAAAATGTAATCATTAAAAAGAGATATCCAAGTTATTAAAAACAAATACAGTGGTAACTAGTATAGTAGTATTAATATAGATTCCTTTGAGTTTTACCTTCATTTAGAATTCCTTAAACTAATCATTTCATTTAGGAAATTTAAACAATATAGTGTATATTTCTTGGCCTGTATTTTTTTTAAAAAAATTATTTATAATAACTTTTATATTTCAAATTATCCTAGTTTATGTATCTCCTATGATAAAATAAATTATAATTAATCATAACTTAAATACATTTTTTTTCATGTTGATGAGAGATTAGACAGGTTTAAGTAAAATTTTGTTCGTAAAGTCGAGTTGAAAATTTTCAATTCTACTCTGGTTTGAGTTAGACTTTGCAAATGGGTTTGAAAAAGTAATATTATAATATGATAACTTGATTTATCATAATTATTATTATTCTTGTTTTAATTTCATATGGATGGAGTTTGCGAGTACATGAATGAATGATATATTTTTTTCATTATTTCTTATTATACATTGTGTTTTTTTAAAAAAAAAAATTAAATTTCTTAATTTCACGTAAATTTAAATGAAAAAAAATAAAAATAAAAATATTTTTAATTTCTTAATTTCACGTAAATTTAAATGGATTTTCTTCTTATTTACTTTTGAACAAACACCACTTTTTCTTCATCTTGGACAGAGTTGATTCCTTGTTATAAAAAATAAAATAAAATAAAGGATAAAGTACAGCCACACCTGCTGAAGTTTTACAAAAAGATACTACCTATTTTTTGGACAAAAACACTCCCTGAATGTTCAAAATGGATAAAGACACCCCTTTACATGAGAAATTGCCCAAATTACCCTTTGACCATTTATGAGATTTTTTTAACTTTACAATTTAATAAATTGGACCAATCTACCCTCATGAACAATTTATGCATAAAAAAAAACTTTATACTGTTCACTTTTTTTTTTTTTTTTTGTTATTTACTTTATAAATATTCCAACTTCTTAGAAGTATAGACGTCAAAAATTATTTTTTGATCCAATATATATATTTCAAATAAATTATATTTTGTTATTACTCCTTTTTTTTTCTTTTTTATTTTTAAATTAAAATGCTTAATTCTTTCATCTAAAAAATTAAACCAATCCCTTTTCCTTAGAAATAAAAAATATGGTACCAGTATAACTTTATGCATCTTAAATTATATATCAAATATTATGCATTTCCCAATATAAAAAGGAAAAAAAAAAATAATAAAACAAAGGAAAAAAAAAAAAAAAAACAAAGGCATGCATAAAGTTAAGATGCATAAAGTTATACTGGTACCTATTTTATTTTATATTGAAAAATGCATAATATTTGATATATAATTTAAGATGCATAAAGTTATACTGATACTATATATTTTTATTTTTAAGGAAAATAGATTGGTTTAATTTTTATGAAAGAATTAAGCATCCTAATTTAAAAATAAAAAAGAAAAAGAAAAGAATTAATAACAAAATATAATTTATTTGAAAAATATGTATTGAATCAAAAAATTATTTTAGACGTCTATATTTTTAAGAAGTTGGGACATTTATAAAGTAAATAACAAAAAAAAAAAAGTGAACAATATAAATTTTTTTTTTTTGTTACTTTTTTTTTTATGTATAAATTATTCATGAGGATAGATTGGTTCAATTTATTAAATTGTAAAGTTAAAAAAGTCTCCTAAATGGTCAAATGATAATTTGGTTAATTTTTTTATGTAAAAGGGTTTCTTTGTTCATTTTTTTATCTACAGGGAATGTCTTTGTTCAAAAAATAAATAAATTTTTTCTGAGTTTTTTTTTTTTTTTTTTTTTGTCAAACTTTAATGGGTGAAAACAAACTCACAAACAGCAATAGGATATGGATGGTCCCATGGGCCATGTGAGAGAGGTAGTCGAGCCCCAGTTCGGTGCTGTGTATTCGGATTGAATAAGGATTCTTGTCTGTATCACCAGGAGTCAAGTGCTAGCTTGAGAGAACCTCCATTTGTCCGACATTAATCCAAAAAAGCCTGTGTCTTTAACATCGTGAGGCTCTCATTTCGTTGCAAATCTCCAAAGCACTCGCTCACAATTGCAATTCTCTCTCTCTCCACTTCTTTCCTACACCATATCTTCTATATATCTCAACTCAGACTTAAACATAGTCCGATATTTTCTTCATTGTGTAACATGGTGGAAAGAAAAACACTATAATATATATACATATAGTTCCAGTAGTTACCCTGTTTCATTCAATTCTGCTTTTCCCACTCAAGAAATACAAAACATATTTTCAAATATTTGTAATACATATAGGGAGAGGGGAGAGAGATTGGGTTTTCTGGTTCTTGTGTTTGGTAGAGAGAGAGAGATTTGATTAATAGATTAAAGTGGGCGTGTTTGGCTGGCCATAGTCATAGAAAGATTCCTTTCTATCTGATCTAAATTTTCCTTCCTGTTTTGGTCAACGTTCAGAAGAATACAAAAGGTTGAGAAACTTCACAAAGTAAAATTGGGCTTTGCTTTCAATTATTTGTTGAGTCTGTTACAAGGGAATTGGTAATTGATGACCTTCCAGTGTTTCTGATTGGCTCACTTATCGCCAAATTGCAATCTTTTGTTGAGAAAAAAGCCATCCCTGTTCCACCAAAAGTTTTCAAAGTTTTGGAGTTTCAAAAGAAACCATTTCTTTCGGGTAGGTGAAAAAGCCCTTCTGGGCGTGCTTTTGAGCTTTTTGGTTACAGCTGATAACTTCGGTTGGTGATTGACTAGAGAGAGAGATGGGTTCCTACGGGATGCTGGCGAGGAGGGCTTTAGAGACTGATACACCCGTTATGGTTCAGGTATATTCTCCATTCATCAAAAACCCTAAATTGGGTTTCCATTTTTCTTTGTTGGGCGTGTTTTCTTTTTGGAATTAATCAACCTCTGTTAGGTCTCGTCAGCTGTGTTTGTTCCTTGGTTTTCTCTCTCTCTCTCTCTCTCTCTATATATATATATATATATATACACACACATATATATGCATATGTATGTGTGCATACTTGTTGTATATACACTGAAATGTGTGATGTTGTTTTGATGGTAAATGTGTTTTGCATTTCCAGATACAGGAACTGATCCGAGGTGTTAAAGATGCTATGTCTCTAGCTCAGGTTTGTTTACTTTCTTTGATGTTTCTTGAAATAGTAGTTAACAAGTTTTATTATTATTAGCCTTATGAATATGGAGTTCGAGAAATTGAGGAACGTGTACGCTTGTCTTGTCTCCCAGCTCTTAATTTATCACTATGTTTATTTTTTTATTATTTTAATTCTCGAGTTCATGGGCAATTTTTTTTTTGGCACCAATTTGAATTTGTTAAGGTGCTTAAAGTTATGGTAACATTTCTCCTTTTTTTCTTTTATTTTTCTTTTTAATTTGGGGGAGGGGTTTTATTGTTTGCTATATCTGGAAAAAAATACTGTTCTTAGCCCAAGTCGTTAAGGGGCATGTGAAGGGCTTGGAATGATGATCCTATTAAATATGTTTTTGAACCCCTTGGTAATTTTGATGGTTTTTACATGGCATTTTTTTTTTTTCCTTCTCTTTTTGGTGTTAAGTTGCCTCTTTGTATTTTAAACAGAAAGTAGAACAAAAGAAGCATGTTTTGTTAATCAAACTGTGACAGAAACTTCCTTTTAGCTTCACAGTTAGTATGGCACATTGATTTTCAAGCCTATAGATAATTGTTGCCAAAATTTGAACTATCGTGCTACAGTTATTCTTTCAGTTAGCATACTGCACCATATTGGTTGCATTAATCTTTTGAAAGAAATGGAATTGCTAGCATTTGTCTTTTTGAGAATCGGGGAGTGGTCTTCTGTTTAGGGTACTGATGGCCGTAGATTAAGACTTGTTAAATAGTTGGTCAACATATTACATTTCAACCTCCTAAACGATCTCTATGATTCTAACCACTAACTAATAAGATTATTTTTGTTTTTGGCTTGTGAGAAGTTGGTGTTGCATGCTCTGAAAACCATTTGGTGAACTTGTACAAGAAGTCTAAATCTGATGAGTTTTCATGTTGTGTCCAATTTTCTTTTACATTAATATGCAACATTGTTTTTATGTGAGCACTGACGAGTCATTTTGTCTAGTAATAATTGAGGAAGTCCTTGTTTTTTTTATGGCTAGTATTGATGTTTAGGGTTAGGAAGAACAACAAGCATAAACTGGTTGTTACAGTACAATATGACATGGTTTTACGTGGTTCTGGGACTGGAAGCTCATTTTGTACTACCTCTTCTGTTAAGTAAAACAGGACTTCTTCACAATGCACTTCCATTATTTTGTAAGCTTCAAATTTTAAATATAAAGTTCCTACGCCTTAGAATCAAATAAAATAATCTACATAAAATGGTCAATATAGATTTCAAATTGAAAGGATTCACGACTGTTATGAATTCTAATGTTAAATTAGTATGCGTGGTTACAGAAAGTACTTCAAAGTGAATTGAATTTTGCTCCCTTACTGCATTTTTGCATTTAAGATCAACTGGAAATTTCTATGCTGCTGTCTTGGCAGTTGGCACTATCTCATTCTTCGATCACATTCTTATGTAGGGGGTAGTGTATTGGCAACCACCCAAGTTGGCACTGGAAAAGGTGAAAGAACTTGTATGGGAGCCTTCAATTAGTCGCTATGGTGCTGATGAAGGTCTACCTGAGCTCAGGGAGGCATTGGTAAAAAAGGTATAATCAATTGATTCTAATGTTTCCGGTTAAAGACTTGTGTTGTGGTTTGAAAGATTGTTTAGAAGGTTAAACACTACCAGACTTGGTACTGTGAGATTCATGGTTCTGTTGTTGACCATTGCTACTTTTAATTGAATATACAGTAGCGTCATATTATTGTTGGGTTTCATCAAATCAATACCGCAGAGGACTTTGCCAGTTAGGTTTTGATTCCTGGTATATGTGGGATGGCATGTGCACGTATAATCTGAACCCTGTCTACTATATCAATGGGCAACAGAAGTTTTCTTTTCTTCTGAGTCTTCTGAAGTTACTTTTCTTTGTTTTGCAGCTGCATCAAGAAAACAAGTTATGCAAATCTTCAGTGATGGTTACTGCAGGTGCAAATCAGGTGAGCAGGTCTCCTTTTGATGTTGTTTTCTTTTAGTGTGAGGTAGCAAAAAAAGATTGGTTGGTTTCTGGGAAGAGGGTCTAAGATTCGCATTAGACATACTTTTCTGTTATACAGGGGGAGACAATGAGGAGTGAAATGCCCACAGGTGGCCTCACTGTGCATCTAAGCGAGCTTTATATCTCTTGGTTCCTTGTAGTAATTAATGTCAAACACACTTCCTTTTCTCTTGATTGAGCATTATGGTGCATAATTTCCCTGAGAATTGTTGTGACTAATAAAAAAAAGTGACGAGAGAAATGAAACAGGAAGAACACAAAGATATTACGGGGTTCATCCACTAGGCCTACATCCACGGCACAAAGAGCCGAAGGGGCTACATCACTTTTATTATATTCTCTCTTTTCATACACAATGCAATGGTGGAGGCTCCTCTATATAGGAGAATAAATGATGAAAGTGGAAAGAGAGAGAAAATAGGAAACAACTTCAATACTGGAGGATTTTTCTGCACTGATTCCTCTAGTAATTAGTAAATCTTCTATACTCCCCCTCAAGTTGAGCATGAATGCCCAACTTGCCATTGAGATCACGATTAGCAGCAAGTGCGAATGATGAAGAGGTGCGACAAGATGACAAGCTTGTTTGGTGTTGCTATTAGAATAAAATAAAAAGCGCTTTTGTCCGTACGACTATCAAAAAATTGCTGCCGGAAGAACGCATGTTATGTGTTTCATGACACATTATATTAAGTACTTTTCACATTTAAATTATTCTTTAGTTTGTTTGGTAATAATATTTTTTAAAAACACTTCTATTGCTAATTTTATAATAATATCCTTTAATAAGAGGTTACCATATTTGATAATAGCAACTTTATGAAGGAATGAATGTACTTGTCTTTATAAAATCTAAAAAAGGACAAAATTGTCTTAAGCAAAAAGAGTTACCTAAAACATTTAGCCTCTGCAGTTTTAAAAGCTTCAAAATCTAGTTTCATGCAAACGCTCTACTAAGCTAAAATTGGTAACTATTAAAAGCGCTTTACCAACAGGTCAGCGGTTTAGCGGTACCAAGCCCCTACTTCTCAAAGAGAGGTCAGGGGTTTGAACTTCCGTGGAGGCATGTGTATGTGAGTACCAACTAGGAAAAAAAAACACTATTAAAAGTGCTTTTAATGGTTATTAAACACATTTGAACCCAATTTTTTAATAAAAGCACTTTTAAGTAGTTGAAAAGCAATCCTGAATGGGCTCGACGTCAATAAAAATGGATCGGGAGATCCGAGACAAGTATCAGCACCAATGGTAATAGCGACAATGATGTCAACAACGATAGAATACCACAAACGCAAACCAAGAATAAGATAATAAAAGTTGCCGGAGACATGACGAAGGCAAAGAACAATGCCACCGAACACGCCGGCAGCCCCAAACAAGTCACAAATAGCCCCTTGTCACATTTAAGAAGCTAAGAGAATAACCCAAAATAAGGGTCCGGACCTAGAAAGAGATCCTCCCTACATTATTGCACATACTATGCTACTACCATAGGGTTTTTCTATACTAAACAATCACAACAAGAGAGAAGAGAGAAACTAGGCTCTGATACCATGTTGTGAATAATATGATATAAGTGAAGAGAGAAATGAAACAAGAAGAATACAAAGATATTACATGGTTCAACCACTATGGCTAACATCCGTGGCACAAAGAGCCCAAAGGGCAACATCACTTCTATAATATTTTATCTTTTCATACACAATACAATGGTGGAGGCTCCTCTATATAAGGAGAAGAAATGATGAGAATGGAAAGAGATAGAAATAGGAAACAACATCAATACTTGAGGATTTTTTTCCATTGATTCCTCTAGTATCAGTAAATCTTTAATAATAAGAAACAACATCAATACTAGAGGATTTTCCTCCATTGATTCCTCCGGTAAATCTTCAATAAGAACATAGAACTCAATGCACCTAAGATAGCCCAGTTTTTTTCTTATGGTGGTTTCAACTTCTTATCCTAATTTCATATGAATCTTTTAGATGTTATGATTTTTCAAGTGACAGGGATGAACTCCCCTGCAGATTTTAGTAGACTGGAATGCAGAAGGTACAATTGAAGCCATATGTAGGAACAAAAAATGGGTGCATGCGTGCGTATGTACGTAATTATGTTGCATTCTTCACTCTTTTGGAAAATTTCCGGATTAAAGTTTGGGTTCCATATATCCGAGATGTGATCATCATGTATATTCTCTTTGGTTTATAATCTCTCAGCATTTTATCTGCAAGGGATGACTTTAAGTTTCACTTTATTTTTCATGGTTTTCGGAAATATAATATTTTTCATTTCTGCGTGTAGCTAAATTTGTCAAATTCCATCCATTCTTTCAAAATTCTAAGGAAAAATATTCACCCATTTAATTGCAGGCATTTGTGAATTTAGTTCTTACATTGTGTGATGCTGGGGATTCTGTAGTTATGTTTGCACCGTACTACTTCAATGCTTACATGTCATTCCAGATGACTGGTGTTACTAACATTCTGGTGGGTCCTGGTAATCCAAAGACACTTCATCCAGATGCAGGTTAGAAGCTTTATAAACTGTTCACTCTGTATGAGTATTACCCTAAAAATTATTACATATCTTTTCCTTATTCTATTCCTTGTTGAATCTTGTTGAGTATTTTCCCAACTGACTTAGATACCGAAATAATGTCTTATACCTAAAAGGTAATTAGTCAGTGTTTGTCCTGGTTAATCGAGGGTCCATGTAGGGCAAACTGGGTATTGTTGTTTTGATTTAATTTTGTACAAACTGGCTGTTGTCAGACTTAAAACAACGTTCACGTGCTTAACAACCTGAAGGTCCTGAATGGTTACTACTGGATCAATTAATGGTCAAATAATGTCTTAAATGATTTAAATTGTTATTGTACAGAGGAGAGATCTTTTTGGGAATGTTATGCAACGAGCATTGTGGGCTTCAACTTTGAAATTTGAATTGCAGAATTATAATTTGATGCTTGAAGCTTTGTGCCAACTTTTATTATTTTTATTTATTGTTATGGGGCAATATTTACTTGGTTGAAAAGTGTGAAAATGTGGGGTTGAATCTGAGTGGCTACTTTTGGCAACAATAATGTCAAAGGTTTGGTATGTCTGCAGTCTAGCCCTCTCAGCACTCCGCATTGGTGGGATCAACTCTACGTAATGATTTACACAGTAGTAATTCAGTGATTCAGGCATTGCTGGCAATTTCTATACTTCTTGTGGAAGCACATTTCCAGTTGCTTCTGCATTGTATGTACAAAAATGTGTGCTGTCAAGATATTATCTCGACAAAGTTCAACAGGAAACTGGTCTATTGATTAGTCAAGTAATAGATGTTTTCATGCACAGGTGTGTCTATGATGCAACCATAATAATTTGTTGTAATAAAAGTATTGAAAATTGATTATTATAATATATCAGTAAGGCATGGCTGAAAATAAAATAAAAGACTACAGGTTCTTCCTACCTTATGCATATTTATGTTGATCATTTATCAGTATTTCCTTGATTTTCAGACTGGTTAGAAAAAACTTTACGGGAGACGAAACCAACGCCAAAGCTTGTTACTGTTGTCAATCCAGGCAACCCATCTGGAACCTACATCCCGGAGCCTCTTCTCATGGTCTCTCTCTCTATCTATATGTGTGTGTGTGTGTTGTTGTGCGTGTGTGGAACTTGTTACTCATTGTCAATTGAGTGTTGAGAATGAGCTTTTTCCCCCTTCTTAGTTTTAAATTTTTGTTGAATCCTCTAATTATTTGTTTCATTTCTTTCAAGTAGAGGATTTCAGATCTCTGCAGAGATGCTGGATGTTGGCTTGTTGTAGATAATACATATGAGTAAGTATACACTTTCTTCTTTCCCGAAATACTTAGCATAACAATACTTTCTCTTGGTGATCTCTTTACAGTGTTTGAAGATATAGCTGATGACTGTGCTAGAATAAAAACATGTAGAGATCATGAGTTAAATGTGAATGGCCATATAACATGGATTGTCTGATTTTCTGATCTTTTCATCAAGCCATATTAGAGCTTGTTGGTCTTTTGTGTTATAAGTGCTAGGATTTATGCCTTTTCTTATTTTACTGCCAGGACAAATGGATATTAAATTAGGGTCTTAGATGGCAGCATATAGTTGGCCCCCATAAGATTACTCATCATAATTTTGAACTTACCTGAATCTCGTGTCCTTATGCGTAGCCTTTTACCTCATTAAAATAGTGAAATAAATGTTATTTTCTCATACAATAATTATTTGGCTAGTCACCTAGAACTTTGCACTATGTTATAAGATGTAGGTTCTTTATCATTTTGCATCATTTCTGGACATCAAGTTGAAAATGGGTTGACTACACTGATCTCCGATTGTGATACCCCTGGATTTCCGAATACTGTTTGGCCAGGCCCACGCCCAAATACCCGAGAATATAAAAAACAAATAGGTAATAATCGAACACAGAATATAAGAGGATAAATAAAAATAAATAAAGATGCTGAAATGAACACTAAAATGATAATCCAATAAATCCTCAGAATAAATTTTCATTAAATAATAAAATATTCTGATACAATAAATCTTCCAATACAATTCGGGAATCCATACTGCGTGGACCCCTAGAAAAAAACACAACTGAATAAGTAACTATAATGACTGTCTACATCTAAAAGATGAAACATAAATGAATCTCCTAAGTAGACTCGGAAGAGTGAAGTAGACCGATTCCTGCTCAGCACAAACAATCCTTTACACCTGAAGAACACCTGAAAAATAATGGTGGGTCAGGCCCACAAACAAGTTCTACTCTACTACAGTCCAAGCAGAGATCCGATACACGTAACATCCTAGTCAACTCAACAATAACTAGTAGTCCGTATATATATATAAATACACATTAAAGGAACCTCACTAGATTATAGGGTTGCCTCAACCTGAATAGTAGGCAACATGCAAAACGCACATATAGTGGGTATGAGTACCTAGACCTACCAGGGCACACAACTACACTATATCTAGCTACACATCCCTGGCAATATACGCACCCTAATTACTGATCCTGAGGTTCAAGCTCATATCATGGCATATATATATATATCATTCATCCTATCCAATATAAAGTAATCCACTATGTATCATCCAACTTGTTCAGTTGACCTGATACGAAAATAAGTAGGACTTAACATTTTAGTTAATCCATTTCTTTATACAAAATAGGTAGGACTTAACTGATAAGTTAATCCGTCCCTAGAGTGTCACCATCCCATACTGGTGCACTACATCCACAAATCCAATAATTGATGTAACAAATAAAATAATACATTAAATAATCCAAAAATTAACATAATAATATAATATCATGCTATCACATAATAGGAATGACTTATAATTTATTTAAGCTTCGTACATCATATATCCACACAAACTGAATCTTAAACATGCTGATATTTTATTATACAGTCAAGTAAGCATTCTCCATATACAATTCATGCTACTCATTTAATCTCAATTGCCAGAACAATTTAAAAAGATTAAATCCATTCATTCCTCAAAGAATCCAAATAGCATGCATTGTTATATTTAAGTCTATTTATTTAAACTTATACCTAGTCCGTATTTAATGTTCAGGACCCTTCAAAATCAATTAAGTTAATTTAAACACTGTTTACGTAAATTCTCCAGGTAAGGCTCGAGCTTTTATCCTGATAGCTCGAGCTTCTTATCCATGGCTCGAGCTTTCCCTCCATGGCTCGAGTTTTCTGTCCATGGTTCGAGCTTTACGTCAATAGCTTGAGCTTTCGGTCCATGGCTCGAGCTTTACATCAATGGCTCGAGTTTTACATCCAAGGCTCGAGTTTTTCAGCTATGGCTTGAGCTTTCCTTTCAAGGCTCGAGCTTTTCATCCATAGCTCGAGCTTTGCTTCCAAGGCTCGAGCACTGTAACAACGCATCAGCCCAGAAATTCTACTGTGTATTCATTCTTCATTGTTAAGAATTCTAAGACATGCTACTAAGCCCCATCAGTACACAAGTATGAAATTACATCATTATAACATTTAGAAATCCACAAAGAAATCAAATCTAACTTATGAATTTATCAATTCACACAACAAGAATAACCATAAAATATAATTTATAAATTTATGTTCTAAACCAATTCTAATCATGCAAAATTATTCAAATTTAATATTTAAGCATCCTGGAATTTCCTAGGCATGTATAGAAACACAAATCAAAGGGAAAGAAATAGAAAAAGAACTTGCCTTAAACTTTCGGATCGAAAGTTAAACTTCTTCTTCCTTGATCTTCTTCTCTAAAGGTTCTTCTCCTCCTTTCTTCCTCTTCCTCATTCTCTCTCTAACTCTATCTTTCTAAAATATATTACGTGATATATTTCTAGCCCCTTTTTACAATCCTAAAGTTATATATTTATAGACTAAATAATAACCCTACTCCTTTTTCCAATCCAAGTTAACTTAATAAAAAAATAATAAAAATAAAATATTTAAAAGGTAACTTAAATATGTTACGTATATAATCTATGTATATCCTTATTATATAAATAAAATATATTCATCAGATTATTTATTAATATTAAAGTTACCATAATATTAAAAGGTAACTTAAAACATGATACGTATAAAATCTATGTATATCCTTATTATATAAATATATAAAATATATACATCAGATTATTTATTAATACTAGAGTTACCATAATATTAATTAACACATTATTTTTCTTTTATATATATATGTATATACATATATATCTATATATATACATATACGACTATCCATAGGTAATTATCCATACCCATTAAACCTCCCATCCAAGTAGTCCATGGGACCTAATTGGTTGGCCCATTACTACTAACCATAACCATAAAATAAAATAAAATAAAATAAAACATTTAATCATTTAATCTATAATTAATTATAATTAATCAAACACATTATTTAAGCACACAATCTAATAAACAAATAATACAAATAACACTTAGGCAAATAGCCAATTAATCAAGTAACACTTAATCCAATTAAACACATAAGCAAATAGTCAAATAATTAATTAAACAATTAAAACAACAATTAAAACAAACAAATAAATACTGAGACTATCTTTTAAAATTAGGGGTATTACACCGACCAACGAAATTCAAATGTTTGGTATGTTTTATTTATGATACACCAACTCACTCTTCAAGAAATGGCAATTTACAATTGGGGTATCAACTCTTGTGCTATTTGCCATTTGCAACTGGTGTATTAACTATAAAGCAGTAAAATGAGTTGTCACTTATGAATATTCTGTCTCGTTCTGTTGCAGCTCACACAAATTTCCCAAAGTTTCTCTATTTGCTTATTTTTATGATGTATTATTATTATTTTTTTGATAAGTATTTTTATGATGTACTGTAATTGTATCATCAAAGTGTTTACCCGGAAAGATATAGTACTGTATAGGAGTTCTAACAATCACATATGTAGGTACTTTATGTATGATGGTCTGAAACACTCCTGTATAGAGGGCAATCACATAGTCAACATTTTTTCCTTTTCTAAAGCTTATGGAATGATGGGATGGCGAGTTGGATATGTAAGTAATGTTTACTCTTCCCTGTGCATGTTGCTATTGATTGAAAATCATTAAGATTCTAGAGCTTATGCATTCTCTCATTTCACCGCGTCTTTTACTTTTAAAAATCATTTATTTCCTAGAGGACCACAAAGAAGCAGAAGTGGCTGTTCTGGCCAGAATATATATTCAAGCGAAGCAGCTATACTTCACTTTCCTTGGACTACACTACTAGTGATTCATTGAAGAAGTCACCATGTCATATTGTGGTGGATGACTCCGTGCAGCACTAGCATTCTTTTTCTTCTGTATATGCTGTATTGCTATATAAAATGCATATTATTGAAATAAGCTTGAATTTATGAGGTTTGTTCTTCGGCAAAGAGCTGTTATTTACTTCTGAAATTTCTTCCTAAAAAGTAAAAATGTTCTCAAAAGTCAACTATCCAAGGAGGGGATGCAACCCATGCTACATTAGTTTGGAAAACGAACACCATTTGGAATATAGTTTAACCCATTACAACCATCATGTTTGACCTGATCAGTTCTTATACTATTCCATCATCCTAACCATTTTTGAAAATAATAAAAACCTTGCATAATTTTTTGTGTAATGTGAATAACTCTTATCTTTTAATTATGAGTGCTTAATATTAGACTACCACTTCCCTCAAGAGCTTAAGTTGTTGAGCAATGAGTCTAGTAATATATATTAAGCTCCAACACCCTCCCTTGCGTTACCCTGTAGACAGACCAGGCAACTGTTGTATGTTCAGAGGCAAGTGAACAGACCGAACAGAACAGATTGAAACAGAGAAAGAGAACAGGAACAAACACAGATGGCGAAATTTGAACCTGAAACCTTCTAGGTTGAGACTCTCAGGCTATGTTAGACTACAAATTGTCCTTAAAGTTTAAGCTGGTGAGAAAATGGCTCAATAATGTATGTCAAGCTCTAAAACTTGCTACTTCAATCCATAGGCCTTACCGTCTCAATCTTAAGATCTTATTCCGTAAAGGAGAAGTCTTCCAGTTGTAGCCAGAAGTTTTATCATTTCATACTATTGATGCCTTTTCTTCTCAAATCACACTGTTATGCCAAAAATATTCACATATATATCGCATTCCTGTGTAGTAACGGATTAGCATAGACGGAATATCTAAATTTACCAAACAGAAAAGTGGTAGGACAATTTGGCAGAGTGCTTGGAGGAGAACTGCAGGAACAGAAAAAGGGTTAATAAGGAGTAATTCTCCATGTATGAATTAAGATGAATCACCCTTGCCTCTTAAAAGGGAGTATGAGGGTTCAAGCCCCCCTAATGGGGCAAAATAATGGATGCTTGAATAGAGTAATCCCCCTTCCGCATTTTCTTCCTCCTCTTCCACCTCTTTCTTTTATCTTTGGCCTATGTTCTTTCGTGTTCCGCTGATCCCATGTTACTGATACGAGATCATAAGTTAAATATTGTTGTTAGAACACGCTCCCAAAGCTTAAGTTGTTAAAGCACGGGTTCAACAATGCATATCAAGTTCCAAGACCCACCCTCAGGTGCAACGGCATTTTGCATGTGGTGAGGCAAACAAGCCAAACCAAAATCATACGAGCGCAAACTTGCATACCAAATTGGGGAGCAAACACATAGAGAGAGATTTGAACCTAAGACATCCTAGAACCAAAGCTGATACCATCTTAAGTTAATAAAGAATGGGCTCAACAATTCATATCAAGCTTTACTACCTACCTTTTAAACCTCAATGATTCTTGACTAGACAGTACAGTGCCTTTTCTAAATCAGATTTAAGTTGTTGTTTTTGATTCTAGATACACTTGCATTTTATTTCTCTTGCATTAAAATTGGAAATATGTTTTTGTGATCACATTCTTCATAATTTGTTTTTGCTGTAATTAATCCAATACAAGTGCTGCTAATATGAGTGTATTGTTTTCATGCATGCAGATTGCATACCCTACAGAAGTGGAGGGTTTTGGAGCTCAACTCCTTAAAGTTCAGGACAACATACCGATATGTGCTTCTATAATCTCTCAACGGCTGGCCCTTTATGCCTTAGAAGTGGGCCCTGAATGGGTCACCGAACAAGTGAAAGACCTTGTCAAGAATAGAGCACTAGTCCTAGAGGCATTATCTCCCCTGGGAGAGGATGCTATAAAAGGAGGAGAAGGTGCAATTTATCTGTGGGCAAAACTTCCAAACAAATATCTAAATGACTTTGAAGTAGTTCGGTGGCTTGCTCGAAAACATAGGGTGGTTGTGATCCCAGGAAGTGCATGTGGTTGTCCAGGGCATGTTAGGATCTCATTTGGAGGGTTAATAGAGGATGTCTGTGGAGTTGCTGCAGGGAGGCTGAGAAGAGGGTTAGAGGAACTGGTGAGAGATGGAATGATCGAGTGATTGTCCTTTAACAATCAATTCAATATTGAAATTTAGTCCAGATCAGTTAGTTGCTGCAAATCCACGAACTGTTGTATTCTCATCCTTAATAATTGGGGGATTTCTGTTGCCAAATTCATCCAAGTACCCATGCATGTATTCCCATACTCATTGATCATGACTACACACAAAAAATTGTAATGATCCATGTATATACATTTGACTACATATGAAATTCCGCCATTGTAGGCCAAAATGTGTGTATGCTCAATTCCAATAAGTGAAAAATTCTCCTGACATTGAACCAGGTCCATGGAGCACAGACACGTTGTCTCTCTTTTTTCCCTTTAGAAATGCCAGCAACAGTAGTCATGATAGTGTCGCTCGCAACCATCAGGTGATCCAGCAGCTGTGTTGCAACAGATGCGACCATCACGTGATCCAGCAGCTGTGTAGTGGCCACTACCACCCTCTTTTTTCTTTTTGTAGCAGCACATGGGAGGGTGTTGGCTGGAATTATATTTAGTGCACTGGTTAACAGTTACCTCAGGTGCAGTGCTTTGTAGATGTAAGTAATGGAATGGTACTGTTCTAAGTTGGAGTAACAAGAATGACCAAAGCTGCGAGTAATTCATGCTACAACAATGCTATATTGTTGCTTCTCTTACACGATTTAATGCATGAATGAAATCTTGTGCATATATTTACATGACAAGATCTAATTAGTTTGTGATATTGTATCTGCCTAACAATTGGTTTTTATGGTTGGCATTGTGTTTAAGCATTTTAGTCGGAGTGAGAAGATAGACCAGAGAGAATGAGAGATTCAAAAAAGCAAGAACAATTCAAAATACTAAAGCAAATCCTAACCTAAAGCCTAAAACATAAAAATACCAAAATAATCATAAAATATAGAGATTACCAAAAATATAACAACAAAAGCAGCCCTAATTTACAAAAAAATCATAATTCTATTTCTCTCTTTCCCTTCTTGAACAGAAAATACTGAAATAGTTGCAACTTATGTGTGAGACTGTGCTGTGAGTCACACGTTATAGTTTTCATCAATAGAGTTGGAGAGAACAAGATGTATGTTGCTTCTTATTATCAATACGTGGTCTTCATATTCCAATAGATTATAGAGCAACTGTTTTTTTTTTTTTAATGAATCATGTTTTTTTTTACCATTCGAAACTGAAAAATTATTCTTTAAGTTCACCCGTTGAAGATCCGCAAGAAATCGAATTCGGGTCAACATTCTGACCGGATTAAAACCATGTACATCTGTGACTTACTGTGTATAGATATAGATCACACACACACTGGGTTTTAAATTCCTTCGGTGGTCTTATTTAGGGCAAATCATTTCAGCCTCGCCAATCTCGCCGCCATCTGCATTCTTGTTCTCAACTCTGGAACTTGCCCCCTCTTTCTCTCGTTCTCTCTTTCTCTCCCTCTCTCTGCACTACAAGAATCAGAAGTTCAAAACCCATATGTTTCAGTTTATCTATCTGTATGCAAGAATCAAAAGTTCAAACCCGTATTGGTATATCATTTCAGATTGTTCAGAAAATCAAAACTCATATCTTTCAATTTCCATCGCCGCTGTTCCAGTTCGGGTTCGCCGTTCGCAAGCTTCAGCCGATGGCCCGCCGTCTCTCACTCTCTCTGCAACTGTTAACATGTATGTATATATAAATTGGCATCACAAATATTACATTAGTCATTGCCTTCACGTTCCTTCCATTTCCTCCCAGTTTTTGGGAGGATAAGAAAATTACTCTATAAAGCTATACATAACCCTCCAAAGCCTTCCCTCTCCTTTCCTCTCCTTCCACCCATTTTACCCAAACACAATTTTTTAATCATCCTCCATCACCTTCCCTTCCCTTTCCTCCCATTTCCACTCTACCAAACTGAGCCTTAGACTTCGTTTGGATACACAGGAGCACTATCCTTCCCTTTCTTTTCTCTCAAAATCCCTCTAATAAGAGACATGCCTCCTCACTCATCAGGTATCTAACCCCTCTTCTCTTTCTAGTGGATCCTGATGGACACTTCTAGGTATTTGCTGATAGGCTATTTTACTCGGTTTATTTATTTATTTTGATCATCTTTCGTCTTGATCTCGAATCAAGTTTATTAGTTTCAAATTCTTCTAATTTCCGTCAACATTAAGGATGTTATGAATGAAAATACTTCTGTATCAAAGTCCAATTTCTATACGTTTCATAAGTTTTCTAACACTTTTATGTTCTGTCCCCTTAATATAGGTTCATTTCTTGCAAAGGGAAAGAGAGCGCTTTGGAATGAGTAGATTCGGAAAAAAATCAAGTATGTTGTTTGTATCCTGTATTTTAATTATTTGATGAGATGTTACATTTCAGTTTGTAAATTGTTTTCACGATGTATTGGATAATTACCATATGTGCGGTTAAATTTTATTTTCCTTTTTGTTTTTATAGAAAAGATAGACATTTTTTACACCATTTCAGAAAAGATTTTGTTTTTGTAGTTAGAAGTTGGAAATTATTAAGTGAGGGTTAGGAGTTCTCTAGAGTTGAGAAATAGTTTTTGACTTTTTTTTTTTGAAATTCGGTAGAGGTTTAAAATTTGGAAAAAGCAATCAGTTGATTGAACGATTGTTAAAGTGAGTCAGAGAGCATAGATTGAAAGGGCGATCAATTGAAGGGTTGCCTGCAAGGCTGCGCCAATATGTAGATAAACCTCTTTCACAATCAGAGATTGAAATGCAAAGTACAACAAGGGATAAACTTATGAACGAACTTATTGTAAGTGAGCGTGGTCCAATGGAGAGAATTATGGCTCATGCTTTGGGGGAATACTTGAGAGATTCAATAGCTTCCCATATGTAATCAAGTGTGATATTTGACATGTTTATTTCCTTGACATAAACTTGTTTACTTTTGTTTTATTTTGCTTTAACTTCTTTTATGATAGAGTGGCTGATTTGATTTGGAGTTGTAGAATGCCAATAGTTTGTTATAAACTCCTACCTTGCATGCACTTTTTGTGTATCTTCTATTGAATCTCATCTTTTTGTCCCTTTCTTTGCATTATACTTGTTATGTAGACATAAGAATGAGTAAAAAATCAAGCAAAAGTGATGGTCTGGATAGATTTTTTTGGACATCGAAAATGGATGATATATTTGTTGATGCATTACAGAATCATCAAGTCAAATAGACTTTGTCAAGAAACACTCGGTATAGAAGGAACATCTTCAAAATCAAATTGAGCTTCAGAATCAAATTGACCGTTGGTGAGGACCGCTTGGGGTGAGGCTCAACCTCATGCTAGGGGAACCGAGTCAAGGGCCATGACCACTATGAGAGAGTTTCGGTGGATGAACCTGCTTGACTTTCGAGGTGAGCCTGATCCTATGGCTGCCGAGGTTTTGGTTGGAGCAGGTGACCAAGGACGGTCCTGGATAGGGTCTTGGAGGATGTGTTGAGGGTTTCTTTTGCTTCCTTCCAGTTCACTGGTGAATCGGTGATGCTGCTAACTGGTGGAGGATGATCAAGAACACCACCGATGTTGGATGATATTTCAAGTTAGTGGAAAGGAAAATCTTCTACATACGGCGTACTCTCTCTATGACTCATGACATTTTGGCTATTCCCTTTTCAATGATTGTTTTGGAATCAGCTTTTAGTATGGGAGGTAGAATACTTGACCAATTTCAGAGTTCTTTAACTCCAAAGTTTGATTTATGTTCAAGATTGGCTAAGGACTTCACCTAATTGAGTTGAGATTGAAGAGAAGTTGGGGCGGTTGAGGTTGTTGAACATGGTAATCCATTTCTATCCTTTAATTAATACTTTATCCCCCTAATACATGTATAATGATAAAATCTTACATATTTTAATTTGCATTTTGTAGGAATTGTTGAAGGTTTTGAAGCTCTTACCATTGGGGGTCAACAGTTGGCAGTTGAAAATGATGATAGTTTCGTTGGATCTTCCTTATGGTATTTTTCAGATCTGTATTTTATTGCTTAGATTACTAATCTTTGGTTATGTCATGCTTGACAGATTCTAGTTTAATGCATATTTTGTTTTACTGTTTTGCTGTGATTTTTAGTCACTTCTGATATAGATTTTGCAGCTACTTTGATCTTTGGTTATATCACACTTGACAGATTCTAGTTTAATGCATATTTTGTTTTACTGTTTTGCTGTGAATTTTAGTCACTTCTGATATAGATTTTGCAGCTACTTTGTCATTTTAGTTCTCCCTTCTGATATAGGTTACCTGATCAGTATGTGCTCCATTCAGGTATTGGTTTTTTATGCACCTGATCAAGGATTTTTAACAATGGATAAAAACATATAATATTCTGTTTTTCTTTATTGTTCTTGATAGTTAAATACATTTTAGCTAGTAGGCTATCAAACTTGAATAATCAGTCACATCAACTTGCATAATTATTCCTTCAAAAGAAAGCACTGAGATTTTATTGATATCCTCTTTTTCTTTTGGTAAATTAAGTGTTAATAATAGCGTTTCCTTTCGAAGTATAAGCTTAATATGAAGTCTGGAAAATGTTATAAATCTTTATTGATCATGCTCACAGTTAACTCGTGCTCTCATGACAGACTTGCTCGAGTTGCCTCGTGTCTTTCTTAGTTGAATTGAGACTTTTTGTAAGTCACAATTAAATTTTCAGGCAACGTGGGTTGGCAAAATTAAAGAGAACCCTATTCAGAGTGAGGCCTAAATTAAGATTTCTAATTGTAAATTCATGTCTTGCTTGGCTGAACCAATAAATTAACAAAATAGCTAGTTGGCTAATTAATCTATCGCCATGGAGAAAAAAATATCTATCTCAGCACCAAGCAAGAACAAACTAGTGCAAAGATTCATCAATTGATCCCCTTATCCCTTATGTTTTTTACTTACCCTTTTATTAGGAAATATATATATATATATATAGGCAATTGAGCATCAACCACCATGAGTTGTGCCACATGGAATCACATTCTCACTTGATTAGGCTGATAACTTAGATCGATGATCTACATTGGGTCAAAGTTATCCACAATTACATGTATAAAAAATTTACCGATGTCAACTGCTCAGTAACTCATGATTTTTCTGAGACCATTGTTGGCATTTTAACTTTTCACTGCACTTTTCCCCAAGAAAGTGAGGAACTCTCAGGTATAGATTAGAGAGAAAGAATAAGAGGAAGTCGAGTGAAACCCATTTCACTTCAGTGGTCTACTATTAGGGTTACAGTTGTGGCAATGCGAAGGGTTAGGCATGCCCCCTCAATCATCAGGT